GACTTAAGTCCTCCTGCCTCCCCGCTGGCGCCGCCACTGCCCTCTTTTTCGGCTTGACTGACGGGAGGAGAGGGGGCCACGGGCCCTCAAGGCCCCCCGCTGGATCCGCCCCTGTTGTCGGCCCCGGGCCAGGTGACTTGTCGTTGCTCACACTGAGAAGATCCAGCAGGGGACCCTTTGCCCATGATAGGTTCAAGTGAAGAGGTACAGTGGGAAGGAAGACGGAGACGAAGTTCCCCGGAGCTGATTCATTCTAGCATATGGTAAATTTTAGTATTTTTTTTTATGGTATTTGATGCAAGTTGAGGATTGATTTTGCTTTTAAGAGGAGGATTGCTAGAAAAGGGGGACTCGGCAACCCTTTGAACCGCATAATCCAACGTAATGGGTAATCATCAACCGTTTTTACCAGGTAATCTGGTCCATTTGTGGGGCCAGTATTTTACCCAATAAAGGGGACTGATATTCTCGGCGGGCACAGGGCGGAGTTGACGGGGTCCCCAGATAAAGCGTTATTTTGCGATACGGTACCTGGGCCGCTACTGATCAGACAAACGAATAGGCATTAGGATAAAAAAAAACACTAACATACTATTATGTTCACATCATTGAGAAATATTTATTTGACTTTTATTACGTCATGAATGAGCAACTGTTCTACTGCATATTGCTGATAAACCCTAGTAGAATAGATGTTAGAACCCAAAATGATATCGACAAAATTGATTATAACAGCCACTTAACCCTACTCATAAACTTAAACCTAGCAGATAGATGTTAGACCCAGCATAAAGCTTCGTCTACACTATCAAATTTCATTAAAAAAAAGAAACATAGAGTTGAACACGTTCAACCTTTTTGATACAATTTGATATGTGAAAGACGTCATCGTAGCCATATGGGCACATCACATTTTTTGTCACATAAGATTTGATAGTGTTAAAAAAAAAATTTGAAAATTATCCTCTATTGAATGTTGATATGTCTTGTATTGGTGGGTGGGGACCTTCTCGGGTGATTGGGAGACTCATTATACTCCACCAGCAGACAGTTAGCCGTTTTCTTTCTCTGTGGCTCGAGGATTGTTGTTACCTTTTGGTGTTAGTTTCTGGTTGTTTTTCAGATTCAGGGCAGCGCTGTCCCCTTTTCTTTTCAGCTGGTGGGTCATTGTGTGGTCCATTCTTGATCCTGAGATCCCCACCCACCCATATGATTCTCTCACGGAATGTATTTTTTTTTAAAGTTATCTAAGTTTATTTATTCATTCTGTTTATATTTATGAATTATACGTACTACGGTATTGTTTTTGCCTATCGGAGCAATCAACACTAATATCATTTTTACCATGTTGTTAAAATGGCAATAAAGGAGTATTGTATCGTATAGTGTAGACAAATCTTTATAAGATAACATTGTTGATAAGGTGCTACAATACTATTAATTCTATTTGAAGTGAAAGGTAACAAATGCAAAAGATGTGAAATAATTGAATTAACTGAAATTAAATAATTGAAAGAACTACTTTTTAATTATATAATTATGAAGAAATGAAAATCTAAAAGCCTCTTATATTATTTTAGTTAATTGTAAAGAACTGCCAGTTAAATATGATGACGTCATTGTACATCTGATTGATCGATTTGGCTGGCTAAATACCAGTGAAGATCAACCATAGTACATCCATATTACAGACCTGTAAAATAAAAAAAAGTATTAGTTTTTATCAGAGACTGATCTGGAAAACAAAAAACGGTGATTTGAGGGGAGCGGGGCTGCAGTTTCTGAATTTAACAGTTTACCGGCCTCGTATTGACGTTTTACTGAATAGTCTGCATGGAATTTATATGGTTTAAGAGAGGAAGAGTTAAAGGTTTGCATTGTTTAGGAAAGTGTGGGAAGACTTTAGTAATTTTTTTTGTAACATTTTAGTATGATTCAAATCGAAATGGTACTGGGCATGACCGGTAGAGTTCGTTCTGCTTCTATCAGGTCATCACATTAAGAAACCTTTAATAAAGAAAGCATACCTTAGCAGCTAAATATAGAACCCGGCTTTATAGAAATGATAATATGAGTGAACTGTTGATCATATTATTAGTTGATATTATATATATATATATATATACATATATATATATATATATACATACAGTATAATATATATATATACATATATCACATACATACATATATATACATATATATAC